CATGGCACTAACACTTTGTCATAAAGAGGTCCAGTAAGCCTGGGCTAGATTTATGCTGATATAAGTTGTATTGGTACGTACCAGTAACAGTACATTTTATGCATTATTTTGCCTTTTTTTAACCTCGGCTTCGGTGGTCCAGAATTTTCTCTAATTTGGAACCGGACTGGCCCCAAGTTTCCCAGATTAGCGAGGTCCAACCTGTACTCTAAAAAACAAGTTGTACAAACCTACTTTTGTACATTAATCCATTTATTACAAAAGTCTAATTAAGCAAAGAATGAACATTGTGTCAAGCATACCTTTTGAAAGAAAAGTAGTGGGACAACTGGGCCCCTATTGGGTGTAAAAAAATGGGCTCCTTCTCATTATTGTTTATATGTTGGACAATTTGCTGTTTATTTTACTATTGTGTTATTTTGTGTTTATATAACCTAATGTCTGGGAGATACCAACTGCCTAGGAAGTGCAAACTTAGTAGGGAGGAATCATTATCAAGTGAAGAAAAGTCTGTGGATGACCTTACAAATAATGATGAAGCTGAACTCACAGAGGAAAAGGAAGAAGGCAGCCAACAGCACAACCGACAGTGGGATAAACAAAAATAAGATCAATATGCAGCGAGGTGGTTTTGTACTGGTTAAGTTTGTCGAAAAAAGATGCATTACCTTTATGTTGGAAAACTGTTGACCTCAGTCGATCCTGAAGAAAATTACTGGGACATCAGATATTTTAGAATTTCTTACAGTGTATCTGCAGATCCAGACTGTTTCTTTTTCCAGGAGCCACAAAACCCACCCTCTTCATCAAATAATTCCATTTTTCTTCAATGCAATATTGTACTCAGGTGTTTTGTATAGTAAAAAGTTATTGCCATTGACCTCAAAATATCTCCTAATATCAAAATGACCTCAAAATGCCCATGACATTGGTCGGATTTCAAAAAATTTGGGGAGGCTTACAGCCCCCACCCAAGACCCTCTAGCTGAGTGGGCTTGCTGTTCTCGCCATGTTCACCTCCCCTCTTGATATTCCTGGATCCACCCGTTATGGAAAATGACACAATTGTAAAATCATTACCTATGCTTGTCTTCTGCAAATATAAAGTAAAATATAGTGCAACTGTTTTTGGTGATATTCTTATGTGGTAAATCAAGATTTCAGTCATTATTAACATTAGATAAGCATTCTTCCTTTTTATTTGATTACAAGTCCATTTACAGGAAAGCCTCCAATAACAACGGTTCTACTAACGCCGATTCATATTTAAGACCCTGGTTAATTTAGGGCCCAATTTAATTTACACCATTAGTTTCTTCGTATAAACAGTTGCAGTTTGGCAGGCCTTTTGTTTTCACGCATCTGAACAGGAAAAGGGAGGGAGGTTAAGTAATGTGTTTGACAGCTGGTGCAAAGGTCTAGTGCATTTTTATTTATCTGTCACTTAGAAGGGGTTTAAGTTTTTCGCTTATAAAATGCCAATGAATTGACTTGGGAGAATATAATTTACAATGCTGGAATTTTTGTAAGATAGTGATTAATTTGAATATAAATATGCTATACAGTAGGCTCTCGCCAATAACGACTTCCACAATAAAGTTTTCGACAATAACGGTAAGTTACAATAGATACCCATTTTCGATAATAACGTCTGGATTCTCTTGAATAACAGAGATTTTGTGGGAAGCGTCCGAGCGCATCAATGATAGCGTTTGTTTGCCGCCATGTTGATGACGTAGTTGTCTGCTCCGCCTCACTCTCACACATGCTCTGTGGAATACAGCGCTGCACCCACTTGTGAGATTTTAGCCTCTATAACCAGTGGTTGCTAGGGTCGGTGATCAATAATGGCTTCCGCATTTTTGCCTGTGGGGGTTAGGGGAGGTGGTGGAGGGAGTGATTTGCTGCCTGAACGCCCGGGAACTTTTAAAGTGAATGAGAAAAAAGACCCCAAAGCTAAGAGACAAAGCCACAAGAAGCATGCCTACTCGAGTCAAGGATAAAGAACAGATTGTTGAGCTCATTGAAAGTGGTGCACGGAACATTGATATTGTGAGGAAATTGAACTGTCCTGAGTCTAGAGTGTGAAATATTAAGAGGAACTTAGAGGAGACCAAGAAGAATATTGCGCTGGCTAAGAAATATTTTGGTAGTCATGGAAATGCGAGGCGAGTTATGAATGATAAAAGTGATAGAAACAGGTTGTTTGTGTAACAAGAGCATTTTCTTTTGAAATGGTTAGCTTGTAGAATGAAAGACAGTGCAAGTCTTAGCAGCCCTCAGATATGGAACAATCATCACACCAAGCACCTCAAAAACTCCCCCAAGCTAAGTGTTATATTACTCAAACTCTTTATTTTGATGATTGAATAACAATTCTTTTTATTTCAGCGAACAAAAAGTGTTAGGAGGGCTTCTAAGGAGAAAAACTGGGTGAAATTCTTGGGGCGCCGGCACCAATAAACCCTTTTTACATGTATTTTAATGTCACACAAATAACGTTTTCGCTAATAACGGCGTTTTTCAGGCACCTATTAAACGTTATTGGCGAGAGCCTACTGTAGTTTGCATTAGACATAAAAATTTTAGTAATTATTTAGTACAATTGAGTACAGTACAGGTTTGTCCCGAGAACAATTATTTCTTTTATTTTTTTTAACAATATTTATTTCGGATAGTGTGTGCATGTAAAGGGGTAAAAATAAATGAAGAAAGTTACGTATATCTACCCAAAAATACAAGTTGAAAAACTTGCACTAAAATGTACAACACTAATCGACTAAAATTTTTATCTCTTCTGCAAAATGTATGATGTCTTTATTCAAATTATTCACTGTCTTGCAAGGATTCCAGCAGTGCATGTTATATTCTTCTTATTTTAGTTTGTGACATTTTATAAGATAAAAACTTTAAGCCTAAAACTACCTTCACCCTGTTTTGGGAATACATGCTGTACTTCTTAGGGAGGCTTCTTAGCCCAGAGCCCCAACTTTTTTGTCCTAATCTTTCGAAATCCAGACTTACCGGGTCCGGATCTTCGAGGGTTTACTATAATTTTACTACAGCAACAACCAGGGTCTTATTTTCTTCAGTTTCAGATGGATAACTGACATTATGGGTGTAAACACTGACAACAACAATGGCATCCCATCTCCTCTTGTGTGATCTTATTATTATTGATTTATATTGTATAAGGTGCATTCATAAATTATTTTTAAAGAATAAAGTTTGCATTTTTCATTAAATGTATTGTTTTGGGGGAAAAGAGTGTAAAAAGCCACACAAAAGATATGAAAAGGTCACACTTGGGAACACATCTCATTATTATTCCTTTATTTTAATGGTAATTAATGATTCACGGTAAGATTATTCACCTTACACGGCAATATTGGAGGACACATTAACGTCGTTATTCGAGGCTTTACTGTACAGTGGTCCCTCGATTAACGAACACAATTGGTTCCACAGAGTCGTTTGTTAACCGAAAATTTCGTTAACTGAATCTATTATTTCCATGGGATATTGGGTAATTGGTTCCAACTCACAGAAAAAGTATATACAAAGTAAAGCCAAAAAAATGAATAAAGTCAGAAACACTCCTAAAAATCCCTGAAATCGCCTTTAAATCACTATAATATATACGTACATATACACAAGAAATCTTAAATCACTACAGTACTGTAATGTGATACAGGTGATTAATTTTTATCTCTTGTGCAAAATATATGATGTTTATATTCAAATTATTCACTGTCTTGCAAAAATTCCAGCTATTGCTAATTATATTCTCCTATCTTTAGTCTGTGATATTATATAAGATAAAAACTGTAAGCCTAAAACCCTGGCTGGGCAGATGGGGGGAGGTGAGGTGATATGTTTGACAGTTGGCATCGGTTCTAATGTGTGTTTATTTATCAGTCCTTAAGAGTGACTAAACTTTTTTTCTTATAAAATGCCACTGAAACGACCTGGGAGAATAAAATTTACACTGCTGGGATTCTTGTAAGATAGTGATTAATTTGAATATAAACAAGCTATAATTTGCACTAGACATAAAAATTTTAGTTCCCTTATCATTTAGTGAAGGTACAGTACAGGTTTGCACTTAGGTCATTTATTTCTTTACATTTCTTTTAGTATGGTGTGTGCATGTAAATGAATGAAAATAAATTAAGAAATTTATGTAAATCTACCCAAAAATACAGTTGAAAAAACTTGTACATTATTAAAATGTACTAAACTAATGTACTAAAATTTTTATCTCATGCAAAATATATGATGTTTATATTCAAAATATTCACTGTCTTGCAAGAATTCCAGCAATGCAAATTATATTCTCCTAAATTTAGTCTGTGATATTATTTTAGATAAAAACTGTAAGCCTAAAACCACCAAACCCTGGCTGGGAGGGGGGTGGGAGGGAGGGAGGGGGTGAGGGAGGTAGGGAGGGAGGGGAAGTGACAGTGACCTGTTTGACAGTTAGCCCAAGGTCTAGTGAAGTATTTATTTGTTTATTTATGTCCTTTAGATTGAGTTTTTGTTTTTTGCTAATAAAATGTCATAGAAGTGAACGGGGAGAATATAATTTACATTATTGGAATTCTTATAAGATAGTGATTAATTTGAATATAAACATGCTACAGTTTGCACTCGACAAATAATTTAGTTATCATTTTGTACATTATTTTGCGTACATGTACAATTCAGCTTTGCCCTCAGAACAGTGTGTGCATGTAAATGAGTAAAAATAAATGAATAAAGTTACATATATCGAGCCAAAAATAATAGTTGAAAAACTTTACGTAGACAGAGCTTGGATGGCTAAATTTTACAATGACCAATAATTTTAATATAAAAAATGCAAAAATATTCTAGAACACAACTTTCTTCATATTTATTCCACTGGAAATGAATGTAAACATAGAAACAATTACTGTATTGGCGGAGTAGCCGATCAGCTGATGCGCACAACAAAGCGTGTTTCTCCTAAGGATGTCGTTAATCAAAGTTTTGTTTGTTAATGGAACTGAAAATCCTTATGGGAGCTAATTCGTTAACCGAAATTTTGTTAATTGAACCATTCGTTAATTGAGGGACCACTGTATTTGCTAAATACTATCCTGCAAGAAAATAAAGGTGGCCCAGTTGCCCCAAAAGGTGGGTAACTGGGCCAGTGCATTTCTTGTTATATAACTTTCCTAAAACAAAAAGAATTATGGTCTCTTAAACAGAACATGTTAATATATGTTAGACCTACGCATGCTACTAATAAAATGTTCAAAGTTTCATTCGTCTCGTGTTTAACCTTTTAAAAATCTCTTAAATACGGGGGCCAGTTACCTCACCTTACGGTAAAGTACATCTAAAGCTTTTGAGATAACTTATACATTATTTATCTTTACTCTCTAAAAGTCCTAGTTCTTTCACCTTGTTGATATAATATTTTTCCAAATTATTTGCACATTTATAGTATTCTGTTTCGGGATGATTGTAAAAGCGGCAGTTTTTGAAAATTCGCAACATATCTGCATTGAAGAGTCGGGCATTCACATAGTAGTTAGCCTTAAGACGTTCAGTCATAGTCTTCAAGTCTGCAAGATGAGATTTGAAAATATTTCAGTTTATAAAAACATTATGGTACCTGTAACAAATTAATGACAGGTATTGAAGAATGAAGTTTACATACTTACCCCCTGGTTGAATTACTAAAAAAGTAGAAAATAATAACACATTGCTCATGAAACTAGCATTAACCATATATTAATAACATAGGATTCCTTTTAAAATAATATGATTAAACTCACCCATGGGATATTTTATATGGTCATAATAATCAGGCACTTCATTTGGGTCGACAGGAACTTGGAATGGCCAGGCTGCAGCATGACTCTTGACCTGTTAGTGCAGAGGTCATTTAGAACTTTATTAGGCACAATATGTATAAAATATCTATACAAAATCCACAAATTATTAAGTTTTAGGATAAAAAGATTATTATTGCAATTAAAATGCATTCTTTTTAATTTAAATATTTTGAATATATATCACATCTGGTACAGTATTAATTTTATTGCCATTTATCTACATTATAGGCAACATGGCTTTTCCTGCAGTTCAGTAAAGGAGATTCATACAGTCTCCCCTTACACTCTATATACTTAAAATCTCAGCAAGACACACATGTAAACTCTCTGATACTGTCATTCCATTTTACCTTGAACTCATTCAATAGCGACTTATGTAACACTCATTCAGTCAGATCAGCAACCTGAGACTTGGTAAGTGACAGCAAAGTAGTACAGTAAGTCCTCACCTAACGTCATCCCGCTTAACGTCGTTTCAGTAATACGTCGGTAAACTTTGGACCAAAAATTTGTTTAACGTCCCGGTATTCAGATACTACGTCATTTTGCGTTGTCAGGGACTACTTTCTACCGCACATCACCCACTCTCGTGTGACTGTGACCCTCACTCGCAGAACGTCTCAGGGTCCCCAAGCAACGCCAAGCCAGTCTCTGTTATGACTTCATATCATTCGTGTGTGCTTAAGTGCTTTTGCTCTAAAACTGTACTCTAACCATTTGAAATGGCTTTCAAGTGCCCATCAAGTGCTACTGATGCTAGTGTAGTGAAGAGGCAACGTAAGACCATTACCCTGGCTACGAAAATGGATGTATTAGCTCGATTTGAAAAAGAGGAACGTGCTGTGGACATAGCCGGTGTGCTTGATCTAACCCCCACAATAGTGCATACTATCCGGACCAATGCTGATAAGATTAAGGTTAGTGCTGCAAGTGGTTCTTCTCTGAGTGCTACAAAGACAACTCGTACTAGAAGCACTGTGATAGAAAAGGTGGAAAAGAGGCTGGCAATGTGGATGGAGTTCACACGGGCACTGAAAGGTTACTCTAAGGATCACATTCCAATGAATTACAAGGCAAACACGAAGGCATGGATAACCGGCGCCATATTTAGCCAGTGGGTGAACATGTACTCCTTCTCTGCACTGAAGGAATACTGTGCCAAGGAGAACTTTGACTTCAAAATTCTTCTGATACTTGACAATGCTCCAGCTCATCCTCCCAATCTCGACGACTTGCATGACAGTGTAAAAGTTGTATGTCTGCCTCCCAACATGACAGCACTGATGCAGCCTAAGGACCAAGGAGTCATCGCTGCATTCAAGGCGTATTATTTACGCCATACCATGGCCCAGCTGCTCAAGGCTACACACGGAGATAATAAACCTACGATCCGAGAATATTGGCGTGGCTTCAACATTCTTCATGCAATTGACAACAATGGCAAGGCATGGGAAGAGGTTTCAGAAAGTTGCCTGAATGGTGTGAGTGGGGTAAACTGTGGCCTGAATGCATCAACAGTTTTACATTATTCACGGACTTAGTCCCAGCAATGAATAAGGATATACTCAGCTTGGCTAGAGAGGCAGGCTTTGATGAGCTGGAATCAGAGGATATTGAGGACGTCCTGGCATCCCACACAGAAGAACTCACCAATGAAGATCTGCAACTGTTAACAGAACACAGTCCTGTTGAAGATGAAGACGACGAAGAAGAACCTCAACAAACGCTAACTACCAAGAGGATGGCAGAAGCGTTCAACATGATCCAGCAAGGTATGCAAATCCTTGCAGATGACGACCCAAACATAAAATGTAGCTCAAAGATCCAGCACAGCATTCTTGGTTGTTACACTGAGATGTATAAGGAGAAGAAGAAGAGTAGCATCAAGCAGTCAACACTGGATTCATTATTCGTCGCGGGTCGGCAAAAGCAGCAGCATCTTCACAACAGCCGGCAGTCGAGGAGGAGCACACAGCAGCCGAGGAGGAGCAAACAACAACGGAAGAGGAGCAAACATCAACAGAGGAGGAGCAAGCAGCGGCAGAGGAGCCCCAGTCAGCGCAGGAGGATGCAACCGCAGAATCTCAGTGACTCCCCCCCCCCACGCCTTCCTCCGCCCTCCTCCTCCGCTCCCGCCATCCGCCTCCTCTGCTTCACTACCCACCAGACAACTCCGCCCATTGGTGAGTACCCATAGTAACTTAGGACAGCAATTGTAGTTGTATATGCATGCACTATTTTCTGTATATGTAATGTATTTCATGGGGCAAAGGGAGGCTCAGTAACATAACTCCCATATTTTATCTATTTCTTATGGGGAAAATTGATCCACTTAATGTTGTTTCGTATAATGTCGCGTTTTCAGGAATGTAACCCCGACATTAAGCGAGGACTTACTGTAATAATAATAATAATAATAATAATAATAATAATAATAATAATAATAATAATAATAATAATAATAATAATAATAATAATAATAATAATAATTATAATTATAATAATAATAATAATAATAATAATAATAATAATAATAATAATAATAATAATAATAGGTGGTGGTGACTGTTGGTGGTGAGCACTGGTGATGGCGGTAAATATTGGTGATGGTGAGTGTTGGTGGTGATGGTAAATGTTGGTGGAGATGGTGAGTGTCAGTGGTGATGGTGAGTATTAGTGGTGGTGGTAAGTGTTAGTGGTGGTGGTGAGTATTAGTGGTGGTGGTAAATGTTGGTGGTGATGGTGAGTGTCAGTGGTGATGGTGAGTATTAGTGGTGGTGGTAAGTGTTAGTGGTGGTGGTGAGTGTTGGTGGAGAGTGTTGGTGGTGGTGGAGAGTGTTGATGGTGAGTGGTGGTGGTGGTGGTAGTGGTGGTGGTGAGTGTTGGTGGTGAGTGTTGGTGGTGAGGTGGTTGTTGGTGAGTGTTGGTGGTGAGGTGGTGAGTGTTAGTGGTGAGTGTTGGTGGTGGGTGGTGAGTGTTGGTGGTGAGTGTTGGTGGTGAGGTGTTGGTGGTGAAGTGGTGGTGAGTGTTGAAGTTGAGTGTTGGTGGTGATTGTTGGTGGTGGCAAGTGTTGGTGCTGGTAAATGTTGGTGGTGGTAAGTGATGGTGGTGGTGGTGTTGGTGGTGGTAAGTGTTGGTGGTGGTAAGTGATGGTGTTGGTGGTGGTAAGTGTTGGTGGTGGTGGTAAGTGTTGGTGTGGTGGTGGTAGAGTGATGGTGGTGGTGGTGTGGTGGTGAGTGGTGGTGGTGAGTGGTGGTGGTGGTGGTGGTGGAGTGGTGGTGGTGGTGGTAAGTGGTGGTGGTGGTAAGTGGTGGTGGTGTAAGTGATGGTGAGTGTTGGTGGTGGTAAGTGTTGGTGGTGGTAAGTGATGGTGAGTGGTGGTGGTGGTGGGTGGTGGTGGTGAGTGGTGGTGGTGGTAAGTGGTGGTGGTGGTAAGTGATGGTGAGTGTTGGTGGTGGTAAGTGTTGGTGGTGGTGAAGTGAAGTGTTGGTGGTGGTAAGTGATGGTGAGTGGTGGTGGTGGTAAGTGTTGGTGGTGGTAAGTGATGGTGAGTGTTGGTGGTGGCAAGTGTTGGTGCTGGTAAGTGTTGGTGGTGGTAAGTGATGGTGAGTGTTGGTGGTGGTAAGTGTTGGTGGTGGTAAGTGTTGGTGAGTGTTGGTGGTGGTAAATGATGGTGAGTGGTGGTGGTGGTAAGTGTTGGTGGTGGTGGTGGTGAGTACTGCTGGTGACAGTGAGTTCTGGTAGTGGTGAATGTTGGTGGTGCTAAGTGATCCACATCAGATTATGTTGGTACAGTATATACGAGACTGATTACTGGGTAAGTATGATTCCGGATCTGGTTACAATGGACTTTTGGTTTTAACAGACCGGCCTTCCCCCTAATTAGTCCATTATATCGAGGGTTTACTGTACAGGTACTGCTAAAGCTCTTACATAGCTAGTGTGGAAATATGAAATTGGATTTCAGAAATTCTTTCTAAAACAAATCAAAATCTTACTCTTCTCATTTATACAACCTACCCTGTTATAACTGAACTATGAACCCCCTGGTGGTTTCCTATGCTCCGTTATTCAGCATAGAAAAGCACAAAATAACCATGCAGGCCCATTACACTGTGAGCACAATTTCAATCAGTTACTCAATTAACCTCTTCATTAGGGCTTCCTATAACCTTATCTTTGGCCTTAAATCAAATATTTCTACCCTACAGATTATCTCAAAGCATAGGCTGCATTTGGTTAGTGCCACATATGACCACTGGCTGAACAAAGCAATTGGATCATTAACATTTCTTGCAATCTGAATCAAATATATACTGTATTGGAATTCACATGACTATATAAACAATGCAGTACAGTTTGGTGACTTAGCTGTTTATATCTCCTAGTGCCTACATACGGAGTTTAAGTACAGTATAACTTGGCTCTGTTTTGAAGCAGAGCTCTCCAGAGAATGACCTGCCTAATGAAGTAGACAGTTGGATTGTTGCTTGGTGATACAAATCCAGTATGGCTGAAGATAGACAAAGAAAGGTTTGCACCCATAATCTTATGTAGCACCAAGGCTCATTTAGCCCTCTGCTTTAAGTGGTAAACTTTCATCTCCCAGACCATTGTATGGGAGGCAAGGTCACAATGGAAAAATTTTACAAATTGTTTAATTAATGCAAGCTACAAATTAAAAATTCTGTATTAATGAATTATAAATCTAATACATCAACTACAAAACTAACATTGCAAAGCAGTGTTTTAAGCATGCTGTGTAGGTACTCAGGATCCTGCTGTTCATGGTTGGGGGATCGAGATGGACGAGAGGGAGTTACTGGATCCTTCCATCCTGCATCTCGTATCCCAGGGATGCTCTCAATAGGTATTTCACGCACCCCATCTCTGAAGCAGGTCAATCCCGGATGTACCTTTCGTATTTCGCTCTGTTTCCTCTCTATAAATTTTTTTATTATCTGTAAGAAAATTATTATATTGAAATAAAAATAAAAACTCCATAGTCAGAATCCAATATACACGAAATAATTGAAAATTAAATGATTGACCCTGAACTTTTGTTTTCTAAATTAAGCTGAAATCATGGACCACATGTATTGTCAATAAGCCTATAGAGTGTAATCAAGGTTCCATGGGACCCAAAACTTACAATAAAAAAAAAATAAATAAATAAATAAATAAAAATTGAAGTACAGTACAGGTAAACCTCTAAAACTGGTGGGGTTATGTTCCTGAAAAGCCCATTGTAGGTCTAACTATCATAAATCAGGTTCATTTTAACATGGGGTTCAATGGGATAGGTTCCTGGCCAGTCAGACATCCTTATGTATCACCGAAAAAAAAAAAAAAATAGAAAATTACTAGAACCACAACACTCACATCATAATGTCTGGTCGTCATCACATGTCCCGTTCGAGGCTAAGGGGACTCTTATTTTTTTTATAAAATATATTATATTTGATATAGGCCTAGCAAGAGTAAATAGATATCAGAGATGACACTTGATGAGAGGGTGGAGGTAGGACTGGCTGTTGCTAAGATCGCAAGACTTTGATTTACTCATTATTATACAATATTCTCATATGATCAGCCTATTATGGTGTGTGTTTCATCATAAAAATAATATAACATACAGTATTAAATATACAGTAGCCCATCAGCTGATGTTCACAACAAAATGTGTTTGTCGTAAGGATTTCGTTAATCAAGTTTTGTTCGTTAACCGAATTGAAGATCCTTATGGGAGCTAATTCGTTAACCGAAATTTTGTTAATCGAACCGTTCATTAACCGAGGGACCACTGTACTTATCAATAACAGGCATGTTCACTAGGAGCTGTTCAGTACAAGGATTGTTTACATCCTGTGCACCAAATCATTGTTACTACCACAACTAATAATGGAAGCCCCTCAAAATCGAGGATGGCCGGCCCAAGGGCCTCCTAGGCATGAATTTGTTAAGGTGTAGAAGCTGTCGCCAACACAACAACCACACCCCAAGTTAACGAGCTGCATGACCCAGTGTCAAGGAGTAGTCCGAGAAGACTGGACACCTCGCCAATTGCACTGGCTAACCATTACCCCGGAATACGATCAGCAAATCGAAAACATCCAGGTTCCCAATTACTGCTGGGTAAACAGAGGCAAATGGCGTAAATAAAATTGCCCATAGTTTCACCCTGCCCGGGGATCGAACTTGGGTCCGCTCGCTTGCGAGGCGAGGATGCTGACCATTACACCACAGGTTGCCCACAACTATCACTATGTGGCCCAAATGTCCATACAGTGTTATTTCACATTTATGTTTATTTATGTTACTTCATATGTATTATATTGTCTTATACATACTGTACATAATGTTGTTATACATGTGCATATAACTACTTATATGTATTTTGCACACTTCTGGGACTGGCATGAAAAACTTGCGAATTTTGCTTTCTCAAGGGGTCCATTTTACCTAATCCCAGCAAACTTAAGGGAATACTGTACTCCATTTTCACCATTTGACTACAAGCAATTACTATGCAGTACTATTATAAAAGGCAGTCTATTTTTAATTGTAGCCTATAAGATACTGTACATATATAATTAATATCTACCAATGGCATGAGGGGTCTAATTCAATATTAAAAACTATTGTTCTTTTATTTTACTCCCTATTTTCATTACATGGTTGTCCTTATTATTACATACAATAACATCCAACTGTTTCTTTTGAATCTAATTTCCTCATTCCCATAAAATTATTCAGATAGATTCTTGCCACGTCCATATTTGAATCATATACTTGATGTAACCTTTACACATAGCTGCAAAAGTGTGTAAAGTATCTTACCTCTTTCTGTCTTCTAATAACTGCAGTAAATTCAGTGTACACAATATTTGGATTTAATTCACAGCCCATCAGTGTAGCTCCCTCATAATCCTTAATGTAACCCTGGTATACAGAGCGCGGTAGCTGGATATCCTTGCTGAATCCTTGTTTCTTGAAGTACCCTGAAGAACAAAAAATCTTTTATTAATAACAGAACAGGGTCAGACATGGAGGATTAATCCTGAAATACAATTTTCTAGCTGAATACACAGCCAGGCAGCTCTTGTTACTCCACTTGCCAAATGTGGGGATTGACCCCCATTTGACATTTGGGTGATGATTTTATGATCACCCAATTTCCCCCGTCACAACTACTGCTGTGAAATGAGGGAGATAAAAAGCAGAGGTTACCCTCTGGAGGCAGGAGGTCTAAGTAGAATAAAACTACTACAGGAGATCTAAGTACAATAGAGCTAAACTACTGCAGGAGATCTAAGTACAGTAGAGCTAAACTACTACAGGAGATCTAAGTACAGTAGAGATAACTACTGCTGGAGGTCTGTGTAGAGCTAAACAATCTAGTTATTACCTTGTGCCACCATTACAGGTTGCCTTCTTTTGTAACAAAATCAATCTGCCATTTAGCTTAGGCCACCTACAAACCCAAGGAAATGAGGGCAGGTATACAAGTTACAGGTATCCCTCAATATAAAAATAGGTTAGGTTTCAAGAAACCATTCATTAGGTGAAATTTTGTATCTTGAATAGAAGAACATGTGGGCAAAAGAGGGTTTGGTTCCCCAATAACAAAAATACCCCAAAACACAAAACCTGTTCACAAACAAGAAAAAACCCGACTTAACTACTGTAATGATAAATAGTAGACAACTACTGCAATTTCCTACTTAACGCATTAACCCTTAAAGTCCGGCTGAGGTTCCTCTATGTTTACTAAGGCGACCCCGGGTGGCCCTCTTTAACGTTCTTAATTTTTGCGGCATATTTTGAATGTCCAAGAGGGACAGAATACTTTGTGCTGAATTGGATATTTGTTTAACTGGCAACCCAACTCATAGTGTCAGCTGTTGTGGTGGTGGTCACAGCCAGGAAGCATTGGTGAGAGTTTGGTGTCTTGCTACAAAATATGTCTAGGATTATACCTGTTTTTTCTCGAAAGCTAGGGTTGGATTATACTGTAAATAAAAAAAAGCAGGCTTTTTAAAAATACCACAAAATCAGAGGTCTGATTATACACACGATAGGCTTATTCACGAGTGTATACGGTAATTCAGTGTACAATTTGACTAAAGTGAGTGGCAAATCTTAAAGTGGAGAAGATAACCTTTTTTCATCATTATCCCAAAAGTTGTTGCTCTGCAAATTTGCAATTCATGGGCATTGTGAAGAATATAACCCCAATGTACAGCAAGGCTCTGTTGTACTTGGAACTCAAGAATATGCAGGGTTTACTGTTACTGTCCGTATGGTGTTTGAGTGCACGGCATACTGTCGCCACATTGGAAATGTGGTCTGGGAAAGTGATTATTAATGGGATAAAATAAAAAAATTCTTCCATTCCATTCAATATTAAACCTTGCTATAAGCTCTAAGAGAAAACCCTTTTGTTTAACAGGCTGAAGATACTGCACAACATTATAGTATTTCTATCTTTTCTTACCTATGGCAAATTCATCCGCAAATGTAAGAAAGTGCAAGACGTTGTTCTTGACATGGTAATCTTTTAAATGGTTCATCATGTGTGTGCCATAACCCTTCACTTGTTCATTGGAGGTAACTGCACAGAAGACAATTTCTGTAAATCCCTGGGCAGCAAACATCCGGAAGCATATACCTCCAATAGGCCGATTCTCCTTAATCAAGGCCAATGTACAGTGCTTACTGAAACAAATGAAAAATATTTCATTAGATCAATAATAAACCCTCAATATACTGTACAATGAAAATGGGACCGACGCCCAGAGTTTTAAACACTCACTTCCGTTGAAGAGGGTCGTTGTGTTTCAACCCGAGTTTAAAAAAAAAATGAGTCCCACTGGACATCGCAGTACACTACTTGATGGGGTGCTGTGGTGGTAAAATTAACTAATTCCATTATTATAAATTAATTTTATTGGAATTAGTTAATTTTACCACCACACCACTCCGTCAAGTACTGTACTGTAGTGTAGTGTCCTTCGGGACTCATTTTTTTTTTCAACTTGGGTTGAAACACAACGACCCTCTTCAACGGAAGGGGGTGTTTAAAACTCCGGGCTAAGGATTATTATGAAAAGTGATATATGATTTTATGTACAGTATTTCAATAGGAAATACTGTATAGGGTGCAATACTGCAGGCCCCCAAAATACACCAACATATTGTAAGATAGTGCCGGATTTAGATATAAGCTACATAAGCTATAGCTTAGGGCCTCACAGGTCAGAGGGGCCTCTCTGAGTTGAAAATTGTGAAAATAAATAAGTAAATAATGGTAAACAAAAACTAAGATAAATAAATATATAATGCTATACCCAGTATATGTACTGTAGATATTGATTGAGAGGTGTGTGTGTGTTTGTTCCACTCTATAAATTTTTTGCGATTTTTCCACCAAGTTTGATGAAAAACGGTTGTGCCGTTTCGGCTGCCCAGAACAGACACACACACAGACAGACAGACAGACACATGCCTAGTCCTATAGTATATTAGATATCCAGACCCATGGAAAAGGAAAGTTTTACTAATGGATGATTCAGTGGTATGAGTTTTACAGATTACTTGATCAACCAAGGGCCATAAAAATACTTACGGGTCAAACACCAATCTTGTTATGTAGTCTTTGGGCATACGAGGAAGTTGATGAGAAAATACATTCTGAAGACCAATCAACCACAGCATTGTCTGTTTGGATACCTTCTGAGTGAGGGAGTTACCAATAACGTGGAATTCAATATTGCCCTTTCGTTCTTCCAGCTGCAACAAAAAAGAAGTATTCATATAAATATAAATGAACATATGTAATAATTGCAGAAATGTATTAAATTTGTACATGTACAGAATTTTTTTTAAAATCACAAGCTAAAACTGCATTGAAAAAAACAAAATATACAAAGTACGATTAACTTTTTTGAAAATTCTCAAAATGTTATTCAAAATTTCACCTTGGCAGCTTCATCCCTTGCTGCATTCTCTGAGAAAAGAACTTCTGGGCCAACCATCTTCCTTGGGTCAGTTATTGTAGCAACAACCTCAGCCACAGTTTCCTCTCCCAAATCTTCAGTTTCTATTTTTATTCTCTTACTGCTGTTATTATCTATTAAATCATCGCCTTCTCGCTTCTCTCCTCTGCAAAAAAAAAATTATTAAACACATACAGACAAGCAGAGTGAGAGAGGGGGGAGGGGGAGCGAGTATAGGATGTACAGATGGTGAGAGGAGGAGGAGTGTAAGCCGGCTGTGAAGGAAATCACAGAAATTTGCACTTACGGAATTTTGAAGTAATGACCAAAAAATTCACCCTTATGGATTTTTTTTAAATATAAAAAAATATAATAAAATCCTGATATATAACAAAAAAATTCACCAAAATGTAAAAAAAATATTTTGAGTGGATCCTGGGTGATTCCTACAAGACCCACAACAACAATGGTGCTGCTCACTTTTATTTCTTTCCGTAGCTTGTGTTCAGTTTTGTGTCTGTGATCAGGACTGCATTTGCCCTGAAGGAATTTGGGTAATTTTTTTAAGTTTTTCAAACATAAAAATCGTGATATAGAAGAAAAGAAAGCACCGATATTATAAAATTTATTTTGTGTGGATTCTGGTGGTAGCTACAAGACGGTGTGCACCTATCCACTACAACAACAATGGTGCGGCTCAGTCTGAATTCATTCCCCAGTTTGTGTTCAGTTATGCATCTGTGATCAGGACTGTGTTACTGTGTACCCTTATTCAAGATGAGTGGGAAAAGGTCATCAAGTTCAAGTGAAAGCAGTGGTGATAAAAGATTCCATAAAGGAATTACGTTGGACATTATACTTGATGCTTTAAAGAGGTAACTCCCAGTAACTCTGATAGCACCACCTCACCACCTCCTGCAGCATTCAACATCATTTCTGATGAGTTAAATTCAAGTGTTGTGTGTATTTATTGACATGTTACATCATGAATGAATCATTGTATGTGTTTAAAACTGATTATTTTCATTCATACAGTGATCCCTCGGTTAACGAACGCCTCGGTTAACGGAATTTCGGTTAACGAATTACCTTCCATAAGAATATTCAATTCGGTTAACGAAATCCTTATGAAATCATGTCAACATGTTTTCGCCTGCTCACCAGCTGTAATATTAGTCCGCCAATACAGTAATCGGTTTTAGGGATTAAATTCGTTACCATTTGAGTAAATATCAAGAAGGTTTTACTATTCAATAATTTTCCAAGTCTTGTATTAAATTTTTTTGTCATTTTAACAATTATTTAACATAATTGAAGTACAGGGAACTAATTTTTAGCGCACCAAACAGCCACTTGACTCACCCAGAATGGCGTCAGTTTGTGTGTCTGCTCAGTGGAGGAAGCATCTTGCTTGAGGCTCTCTTGAATATAAACTATTTTTACATTTTTACAGTACAATTATTGGTCAACCTGAAATTTATTTTACATATTGACAATATATAATGCAGTGCAGTATTGATTTAAAGAAAATAATCTTGAATTACACCAAGTGAACTTAAAATTTTATGGGTGAAATAACAGCATGAAGCATGAGGTGACTTCTCTTCCACCCCCACTGCCTTCTCTTCTCCCTTCTCCTCCATCCCCACTTATAATTCCCATCATCATCATCATCAACCAGGAGCCTTCTGTGTGCACACCTCAAAGTAAGCATACTTTACTGCATTTATTTTTAGTTTGTATGTAATTTTCGGTGAGCTGGAACCAATTACCCAAAATCCCATTGAAACAATGGTTTCGGTTAACGAATGACCTTCTGGAACGAATTGTGTTCGTTAACTTAGAATGCATTTGTATTACGTTTTTTGGTCAAAATATTTTTTTTTCCTTGGGAACACATCTTAAATTATAAAATGGAAGTCAATGGGAAAATTGGTCCCAGGATATGGAAAATTTTTCAAGAATTGAACCCTACCGTGACCTGGTGGATGCCTGTATATACAGTTATCCGACACCTACGGAGATTGATAGGTGCTGAATAAATAATTTTCCGGTTAGTTGAACCTCACTCTAAGGTTATCCCAATAAATGCTACAAGGCTGACCTTGCAAATTTGTGTACAGTATCCAAAAAATGGACTTTTACACTTATTCCACTCTTATATAAATGATGTGGCTTAGAAAAAAGAAAATATAAAACTATAAAATAAGAAAATGAAGAGCATGGGTGTGTAAGCATGGGATAAGAACCTGGTGGGAGTGGCTGCAAGAGACTGTACAGTGTGAAGAGCTACCATAACAATATTATGGCTAATCCATGCAACCATTAAAAATAATGATTATGGTCCACTTTACAGAATTCTCTTTATCCTGTTACCATAAATTAATGTAGTAACCGCTGAAGACTGTCATGTCTCTGCTTTATTTAACCCATAAGAAACCCATGTTTTATCATTGTGTGACCTATTACCATGGCAACAACTGGTCAAATTTGGCATAATTTACATCAAGAGTTCATCATGTGAACCTTCCTCATATTGATCAAACCTACTACATTGCTGCAAATCTGCAAACATGTTCTTTAGAGTCACACATTAGTTGGACTGGACCAAAAACATTACCCTGCCCCACAGTTGCAGGCAGGCTAATAATGACCTTATCAGAAAATTTAAAGCACTTCACATTCATAATAATACATCATCACTTTTGAACCAATTGCCTAAGACATGTCAGATTAGTGTTTTCTCTTAATGTGGACTGTACCAAAACCAAAATAGTTAAGTATAATCACCTTTTAAATTTATTGAAAAAGCTCTTGAAATACTGTAATGAAATGAGGACATTACACTCTCTCTAGTGAAATAGGCTGCAATACAATAATACCTGTCATCCATACGTTGTCTCCTTGTAGCTGCAGATGTGAGGCTAACAGTGGTGTACTGGCCTTCACCTGGTTGTACTGACAACCTCTCAAATTCACCACGGGCTGCTGTGCTACCTAGAGTGCAAAATGTTGTTAATTATCACTTCCTAAGTAACACAAGGGAACAGAAAATGTTACTGTTTACTTCTCGAATTCACCAAAGAAGGCAGCTGGGAGTTATTTGTAGCATGGCAAATTTCACTAACTGCATATATTTATAAAAAATTTGATACATAATTCTCGGTAAATAGTATAAAGAATTAAGGTTGTAAACATTTGATCCACAATATTATCTTTTAATCCAGAAAGAGTAACCTATACCATACTGTACTTAGTGCAGCATTAATCAAATCAGATATAAGTATCAAATGATAGCTTGTACTTAAACCCAATTTATAACAGCAGCAATGAGAAATGATCGATGAATGTGTGCACCATAACTTGCAATTCCCAACAAATGTTAAGGCACTGTGCAACTGAAGACAACCTTAAGATCACTCAATTACCCTCTGACAACCATCATTCATACAGGCGAGATTAGAGGTCGCTGTTTACCCGTAAAACATGAGAGGTAATGAATCACAGTACACTGTGCCCTCATTAATTCTGATCATAATAATTCGGATTTTGGCTAAATTCATATGATTTTTTTTTTCAAAAATTAATTCAGCGATTTGAATTCAGAATGAATCTGAAATAACTGGGTGGTTCCGAAAAGTTGATTATTATTTTTGGAATATTTTATGAAATAGATCAAGAAGAATGAATTATAAGAATAGAATATGAATTATATTAAGATACTGTATAAAACTATGAATGGTATGAAGCAGTGGCGGAGGAGAAGGGAGGATTGATAATAATTGATTGATTATGATAATTACATCCCTGGCAACGCAACAGCTCAAGTCATACGACACCAAATTAAAATAAAGGCTTAAAACTCCAAAATCAAATAATACAAGGAAAAAACATAAGTAGAAGGCCGGCTTCCTCCACGAAGGAGAAGACTTCCCCTCCCATGCTATCTACTCCTCCCCTGCACTGAGAGAGGTGCTTAAAACAAAGATGGTGAGACTGGGGCATTCCACCAGGTGTCAAACAGTCAATGGGACCAGGCAGTTATCACAATGAGGCAGGGACGCCCTCGCCATTAAAAATCACGAGTCAGCTGTGTGTGGCCAATGCGGAGGCGGACCAAAGGACTCACTCGGCAGCAATGCAGTTCCTGATTCCCCAGGCACCCAATGCAGGGTGGATGGCTCGTAGCTTGTTCACTCCGACAGTATTCCCTCTGCATTGCCAACTTGAGTGGATGACAGCTCTTATTACTAACTTCATATTAGAGGCAGGTAGAGGGGAATAATATACCACAGGGCAAGAAGCAGCTGTTTTCACCATAGCATCAGCACGCTCATTCCCTTTCTCCCCCACACGGGTCGGAACCCAACAAAAACTGACTTTCTGGCCCAGATGTTGGATGAGAAACAACCACTGTAAAATATCTATAACTAAGGGATGGATCAATGAGACACTAGCTAAGGCCCAGAGAGCACTGAGAATTTCTAAAAATTGTAAAATCGCTAAGAGTTGGGCAAAAAAATCTAGAGAGCAAGTAAAATACAGTAGGGTCGCGATATATCGCGACTTTATATAAAGATTTTTTTATATCGCAGCTACCAAAATCGGGCAGGAAATGTTTCAAATGTACCGCCATGGCAAACAAATGCGTTATTTGCTCACCAGAGGCGCCACCGTAGCTGCTCACTCACACATTCACGCTCGCCCGCTCAGTCTTTCTGAGTGAGTGACGAGATAGCAGCCAACTCTGCTGCAGATTATGACTTCTAAGACGAGTATAAATGGGTTGCTAGTGACGTGAAAAGTGAAGTGAAGAAAATGGAAAGCTTAATGGAAAAGATTTAATACTGTAACTATTATTTTTGGTGCTCATTTATTTAGGTGTGGGATTTTAAAGTGAGGGTGGCAGTGTGGCGTCTGCTGCCGAGTCTGGTGTTCCCAGGATGGTGCGTCTGCTGCCGAGTCTAGTGTTCCTGAGTCTGGTGTTCCTTCATATTGATATTGAAATAGTCTGTTGTTCCCGAGTCTAATGTTCATTGGTGCTTTAGTAAGTAAGAAAATGAACTCGTCACTTTTTTGGGCCTCCAGAACCTAATCCTATTTTCCCCATTGATTACACATAATTATATACAGGGTATAGCGATTTAGTATATAGCGAACATCGTTGGACCCTATCTTGCAATATATCCCGACCCTACTGTACCCAAAAGCTTTGCTGTAAAAATAGATGCCATAATGGGGAAACTACCGTCCCGACAGAAGTCAGGAAAGACCACCCCCAAAACCCACCACTGCATCTGACTTAAAGTTGTCGGTGTAAACACTAATAAACTTGAACTTCAGGGAGAAACCACAGTGGCACTAAGGAACCACATAGGGCATATCTGAACCGGAGAAAGACAAAGAATATTCACAACCTCCCTTACCCTGAAGCCGAAAAGCCGTGGGAAGCTTGGATGCTGAGTGTAGTGAGGGGACATAGTCTCGTCAACTATACAAGTGTTGATTATACACTGAGGAAGGTTGTTGAGGAGAAACCAACACTGGACCTGGAGATACTGACTTCAAGGGATGGCTCATCAGCATCCACCAGTAGATTTGGGATTGGCAAAGACCCAATGGCACCAGTCGCACCCCAGCATGATGAACAGCATTCAGTATATTGAGTCTAGTCTCAGTGACTGAGAAGTACACCTCACACCCATAATCCAGTTTGGGTCTAACTAGTATGTGTAGCAGAGTTCCTTAATCAGCACCCTACGATGTGTGCCCCAAGACTCTCAAAAACTTGAGGGCACACTGGCAAGACTCTTTGAAGTAAAAAAATATGTGGCTGGCACGTAAGGCGGTTGTCGAGGATAATGCCCAGGAAATGAGTGTCTGTGACACACTGCACACGATGATCATGGAGCTGTAAATTGGGATCTGGGTGAACACCTCAAAGGCGGCTAAAATGCATGACAATATTCTTCAGGGGAGAAAATCTGAAACCATGCTCTGTGATCCAACGTGAAACCTTGTCTAGTGCATACCAAATGGCCAAGTTGTCTAAATATATACGATTGATACACCACCTGGAACAGATGTTGCTACCCCACTTATTGCGATGGCAAATACGGTCATACTCAAGACACTGCCCTGAGGAACCCCATCCTCTTGAATATGTTGTGCTGACATTTCTGTGGCAATGCGGACCCTAAAAGTACGACATCCAAAGAACTGACCTATTATTGACGGGAAATTTTCCCGCAATCCAAAATTGTGAAGCTCCTTAATGATGCCAAATCACCAAAGCTGTGTTGTATGCCTTTTCTAGGTCAAGAGAAACACAGATGAGATGCTCGCCACAAGCAAAAGCCTCACAGATCGAGGACTCAAGATGAACAAGAGCATCTGTTGTTGAATGCATCTTCTGAAATACAGTAATATCTCCGTTAGCCAGAATCCCTCAAACCCGGAAATCTCTGATTGCCGGAATTGAAATTTGCTCGGAAAATCACTCCCAAAGCTGGAATTTTTTTAAAATTCCGGCTTTGGGAAAAAATTTTCCGAGGTTGAAAATTGAGAGAATTTTCTGAAAATGTTCTTGAATAAGGATGAGTTTTTTGGGGGGGAAGGGGGGGGCCTACTTGGCCTGACTCAATGTCAGGTGGAGGTAGGGTGGGGGATTAGTGGTCTCATATCACTGACCTTCTGATGGAATGTCAGGTCACCTTTCTTGGGTGGGGGATTAGTGGGTGTAATGACCTGAAGTGGTCTTGAATTAACACAAAACTTATAGTATTTATAGGGAGATTGTGGTACGTAGTAGGCAGCTACCAAACAGGGAGGTACTATGGCCTGGGAAGATATTGGAAGCATAATGTGTTGTCTAATGGTAGACCCTGCTGCCATATGGCATCACGAAAATTGTGACCAAGTCCCAGGTTGCTGATCTGACTTTCTGCCTCATTTACACACAATTGCAGGGTCTCAATTGTTTCTCTTACTATTGACAACACAAAATACATATATTGTTTCTCACTTTTGATTTTTTTTTCATTTTTGTCTTTCTTTATTATTATTATTATTGTTATTATAATTATTAGTGTTGTTAATATTATTAGTAGTAGTATTTTATTATTATATTTTTTTTTTTTTTTTTTTATTTACAGTATTACCCTGCTTTACGCGGTTTCACTTTCCGCGATTTCTCATTTAAACGGTACCTCGCCAGAACCGGACTTTCACTTTCCACGGTGCATCTACCCATATACGCGCAGAGTGTCTGGCGCGACGCTATTTTTAGATTCGACCCTCCCGCCTTCTCCCGCCTGGGCAAGCCGCGCGGTAAGGTGCGCAGTGCATGTCTCTGTTGCGTTATCAGTGACGTCATATGACGTATCGTACTGTGATTAGGCCATGCATCCTTACCTCCTTCCGCTGCTAGCTGTGATTGTTTTAAAGTAATATGACGTGTCCACCCGCGGGAGGGAGGGAGGAAAGACGACGCTTGACCTAGCCGCGTCAGTTTCATCCCTCCAGGCCACGCCATGTAAACGTGCATCCATTGTTCTGTAAAATGGCTTCCGCCGGACCACCGCCCCCAAAGAGAAACCTTGCCTTACCTGGACCCAGCCGCCCTAAGCCAAAGAAGATACGACGTTCCCTAAGCTACGAAGTGAAATACAAGATCATTCAAGATTTGGAGAAAGGAACATGTCAAGCTGATCTCGCGCGCCAGCATGGAGTCAACGAATCTACGATTCATACTATTAAGAAGGATGCAGCCAAGATCAAAGAACACATGAGAATCACAAAGTCTGCAGGTGCTTCAATGATCAAGTATTGCCAGAACAAGGTGCTGCTAAAAGTTGAAAATTTGCTGGTGAGTTACTTGATTCGTCAGGCGCGACGCAACATGGCGGTGGACACGCGATCCATTCAAGAGTACGCCCGTGAACTGTACGCAGCAGTGTCATGTAAGATGGGAATTACAGAGCCCAAACCCTTCCATGCTTCCTCTGGTTTGCTGCATAGGTTTAAGAAGAGGAACAAGATCACCAACATCAACATTGGTGATGAAGAAGCGAGTGCTGACCGTGTGGCGGCTGGAGATTTTCCTCCGTTCTTACGTGAGGTTATGGAGGAAGGGCAGTACACCGACGACCAGGTGCAGGCTATGGAGCCGTACATCAAGGTGTATCAAGACAACATCAACACTAGCCGTCAAAAAAGCATTACCGAGTTCTTCGCCCGCAACCCACCACAGCCAGCCAGAGCCAGTGATAGTGACAGTGAAGGTGACTTTGAGGGATTTGTCAGGGAGGCCCTGACAACTATGACAGATAGTGAGGGTGATTCACCTAGTGACGGTGATTCACCTGAGGGCCAGTAATCTGCCCTCTGCCTCGGAACCAGCCTCCATCCCCGTATGCCGACCCATCTCTTCTACTAACGTAAGTGTTAAACCTAACCTTTAGTTTTCCTAACTTAACCTTTATTTTTCCTAACTTAACCTTTATTTTTCCTAACCTAACCTCTTCTATATTAATTGTGTGTGCATACCATCATAAAGTTAAGATAATATTTTTACTACAACATAGTTTTGTGTCGTCAAAAAGTGGAGTTTGGGGGTCGAGCCAGTCTATATTGGAATTAATCCCACATGTTCTGTTGTTCACTTTACGCAGATTTCACTTTCCGAAGTACCCTGGCTGTTCAATTGACCGCGTAAATCGGGGTACTACCGTACTATGAATTATTATTATTATTATCATTATTATTATTATTATTATTATTACTATTACATTTTTGTCCCCCAGGGTCCAATGTGGGTCGGTGACCTGTGCCCAGGTGGGCTAATACCCGTAAAAAAATAAAAAGTATAAGTATAAATGAGTAAAGTTGTATCCCTTCAACATTACATTACATAACATTTTAAAACATGGAGTGAGAAAGCAGAAAGGTGTAGGTGATTAGAGAGATGGAGTGAAAATTAGTGGTAACATGCACCGTGGTTGCCAAGCGATAAGCTCCTGAACAGCTGATCTTTTAATTTGCCTCCATGGAGTCACACAATAAGACCCTCACTGGATGCTTGTCTTAATTCCCGTGTGTGTGTGTGTGAAGCCTGAAAATGTGCCAAATCGACCCCCTCACCTGGGAGTCGATTACTCCACATTGTAACGCTTGAAGGAGCACCACACGGGAAGGTGTCAATACTTTCGAGTTAGCCCAACTGCAAACTGAGGCAGATAAGCGCCAATGTCGGAAAGACGCTGCCACCGCCCCTCCCACAGTAGATGGAGCCCTCCACATGTGCTACGAATGTGGACGATGCCGGTCCCGTATCAGGCTCTTTAGCCACCTCAAAACTCACTAACCTAGGTGACATCTTTAATAACCCATATTATTTTATCATAGCTGGATGATCGTCATACTCGATTCTCAGTGACAGCAAAGTAGTAGTAGTAGTAGTAATAGTAGTCAAACAAGTGGCATATGCTGATGACCTTACAGGAGCAGGAAAAGTGGAGGGCATCAAAATGTGGTGGGACTTGGTAACATCGCGAGGTCCACAAATAGGGTACCACCCAAACGCCAGCAAGTCCTTCCTCATCGTGAAGCCAGAACATTATGAACGGGCAATGGAGGTTTTTGGCGGAAGTGAGGTCAAAATAACTAAGGACGGCCAAAGACATCTAGGCACAGTAATTGGCACTGCGGACTTCAAGACCGAGTACGTAGCGGGAAAGGTGCATGAGTGGATAAGTGAAATCGAAGCTCTGTCTGAGATTGCTAACACAAGAGCCACATGCGGCCTTTGCTGCATTCACCCATGGAGTCAAGCATCGTTGGAACTACCTGATGCGTACTATCCCTGATATCGGACCCCTCCTCCACCCTCTAGAAGAAGTTATCAGTGTCAATTTCATTCCTAAATTAGTGAACCACCCTGACTTAACCCCAGTAGAAAGAGCACTTCTTGCACTTCCATCAAGACTGGGAGGGAAGGGACTAACCAATCCAGAGGAGATTGCTGCCACTGAACATCAAAATTCACTTAAGCTCACGGCAGCCCTCACGGACCACATAATAGCCCAGAATGCAACAGGGGAAGTGGATTCCAGTGAAGTAAATAAGATTCGTAGGTCCATTACGACAGATCGACAGCACTGCCAAAACGATAAGTTGCAGCAACTGTTGCTGCAGGTATCAGAAAAATTTGAAAAAAAAGTAGCTATAGCGCAGGAGGTGGGCGCCTCGAACTGGTTAACTACGTTACCGATAAGGGCAAATGGTTCCAGTGCAGTTGGCGAGTTATCCGGTCTTCTCGGACTACTCCTTGACACCAGGTCATGCAACTGATTAACTTAGGGTGTGGTGGTTGTTATGTTGGCAACAGCTTCTACACCTTAAACAAATTCACGCCTAGGTGGCACTTCCAGCCATCCTCATTACACGAGGGGCAACCATCATTATATTATTTATATTGTGTGTGTGACTTATTTTTTTGCTTTAATTTACTGTATTTTGTCATTCTATTTCTTCTTTTGTATTAAATAAAGTAATTTTAGATGTACATAAGGACTTAGGCTATGATATACTGCAGTGGGATTTTAAACATTGTTCTGTAAGTACGTTATGCATAAAGCATGTGTTCCGAACTTATATACAAATCCGATTTAAGAACGTCCTCAGGAACGGAAGCAATTCATAACACAGAGATCCCCTGTATTGTAAATTTTACTTTTTTGCTCTGTATTAGAAAAAATGGTTTTACTTGGGTGGACTATAATATCCTGAGTATTTTACGTACCATGGAAAGTACGTGTTTGCGTGTTTATTTACATACACTTAAATTATACATTGAGAGAACAATTATGTTAAGATTTATTAGTTTTTATTACAAAAAACTTACTCCATATAAATATCATCACCATCTTCGAAACATTTATCATTTCTAACCTAGATGCAATGGTTTGGTCAGCGACTCCCCCTCCTAAACTTCGATTTAATGTAAAATTGGATTTAACTGCACGGTTCAAGTCCCATCGATGCCATTATATCGAGGTTCAATCTGTAGTAAATTCAGTTTTACCAGAAAAATTAAAATGAATGATAAGTAGCCTTCTGGCAGTTTGCACAGTGAAAGTGATAAGTGTGAATATTGTGTGCAGCAGTACAAGCAGTGTGTTTTATTGTTTTACATTAATTTTTTCGACATGTATTTTTTATGCTCGTGGTAACTTCAAATCAACTTATATTACTGGTGACTTTTGGTGAGCTGAGCTACCGGGATACTTGAAAATCCAATGTGAAGCATGAAAATTCTAACCGAATGGTCCTAAACACTCCAAAATTTTAAACTATCAAATGCCCTGAACAACACTGATAAAGCATACTTTCTCTGGTTATTCACTTTTTATTTCAATGATTAAAGCCTTACCCATATCTAGAATTCTGACAAGTTAATACATATTTATAAGGAAGAATTACAGTATACCTCTTTCAGCAGCTTGGTTGTGAAGGTGTGGGGGTAACTGGGGCCGGTAATCAGCATCCCAGATTGGAGAGGAATTCGAGTATACCTCTTCTTCTAACATGGACAAGAATCTGAAGTATTATAAGGAACAAATTATTTTAGTTTAATGGCTGTGTTATTCTGCAACAAATCTGAAGTTCTTTTTTATATAAAAATAAAAAGACCAGCATTCGAACTCAGGCTGTGGAACATATTGGAGAGAAACACACAAGGCCTTCCATGGACAACACACTCTCTTGAAGGATGGCACAGAGGGTTTGAGCAGAGAATGGCAGTCACCCGCCCCACCGTTTGCAGTCTCGTTTCAAAACTAAGAAAAGAGCAGTCGGACTGGGAGTTGACAATTGAGCAGGCAGCAGCAGGAATGGTATTGAGGAAACCGAAGAAGTACCAGATATTAAACACAAGACTGAAGTCCGTCATTGAGAAATATGAGGAGTATCCCAGAACCGACTTCTTGAGAGCAATTGGCCACAATCTTGAAATATTTTATGAACATTTTGTTTTATACACCAATTTTTATAAAGCAATTACATTACAATTTATATCTTTTATCCTTTAGTAAATGTGCAAAAAAAAAAAATGTATATCATGCAAATCTATCACATTGCAATTATGTTTTCTTTTTATCTTGTGTTTTATGAAGCAAATACATTGCAAAGAAGAAAGAAAAAATAAATAAAAGAAAAAGGCCACATGTCCATTCGGCCAAATGTCTGTTGCAAATCTGTCTGATTTCGTCCTGAAGCAATGATGTACTTACAGTACTTCTAAATGAGTTTATTCATAATCGTTGGGATGACCGTTTCTGACAAGAAAGATATTTTGCTAAATTATATAATGATACATACAATACATTCATTATTTCAAACATGAGCACATAGGAAGTTTATCATAAATCTTATACATTAACTAACTGTCAAATCCTGATAGCAAATTCACACTTTCGGAGGACTCATTTAATATACAAAGCTTGCCCTTAAAATTCAAGGGAAATAGGTTTGCAAAATAGCCACGAATATCCAAGTCCGCGAATAACAAAGCACGTAGTGGCCTCGAGGGTAGACTCGCACATTTTTAATACATTTATTTCTGATTATTTGTGATAGGATTTTCCCATTATCATTTATTTATATGTGTTTTGTGAGTGTGTGTCTAGACACACACAAACACACACAGATACAATACAGGTAAAATAAATTACTGTCTCTAAAACGAATGACTCCCTGTCCTGGCCGCGAAAATGCCAGCAACTTTAAAACTGCTCCCTTAGACATTCTTGGGTACATCCAGGGTGTCTTCCGTGAATAATAGAGGACCGCGAATTAAAAATCTGTGAATTGTCAGGGCATGCTGTACTTATTTTTACCCAAAATAAGGCCTACTAAGACAAATTACATATCAGTAATACTAAATTATGCTAAAACCAACATTTTAAAAGATCAAAATCACATTGAAATATTACACGGCCGTCAGCAGAGGCGAGAAATATGACCACAAACAACTTCATACTTCCCGTTTCTGCTGACAGATCGAGTAGTCAAGCTCCCCAGTCAGTCACACTCATCCACCAACTTTCAGGGGCCGTGTAATATTTCAATGTGATTCTGATCTTTTAAAATGTTAGTTTTAGCATATTGTAGTACTACTGATACGTAATTTGTCTTAGTATGCCTTATTGTGGATAAAAATAAGTATATATTAAATGTGTCCTCCAAAAGCATGAATTTTCTACCAGAGTTTAACAGTTAATTCATGTAGAAGATTTCTGATAAACTTCCTATTGCTCAAGTTTGAAATAATGAAATATGTATCTTTATACAATTTAGCAAAATATCTTTCTCATCAGATACGGTCATCCCAACGATTATGAATAAACTCATTTCGAAATACATCATTACTTCAAGACGAAACCGGACAGATTTGCAACAACCAATCAGCTGTAATTCTTGAGTGGGTGGGGCCTCTCTACTCAGATGGGAAAAAATGCACTATAGTGATATCCCTCCCAGTACATAACTCACACTACCTCATACCTTCCATACTAACTCATGATATCCCTCCCAGTACATAACTCACACTACCTCATACCTTCCATAGTAACTCATGATATCCCTCCCAGTACATAACTCATGTTACCTCATATACATTCCATAGCAATTTCTTTGTAGTTACAAAGGAATTGAATTTTGTAGCCATAAAAAATACTAACCTTGGAAAATGATTGAGAAGCAGTAGCTTTTTTTCTGCAGGCATTTTGTCTTTCTCAGCTCTAAATTTATCTAGCAACTGCTTGCGTAATGTATGGAACACAGCGCGGAGAAAAGTTCTACCAAATATTGCTGTTGTTTCATGATGAGGCAGAGAATCACACAACTGTGGGACATAGCTGAAGCACAACCATCTAAAAATATAATTTTGATTGGTTAAAGCATTTTGTTAAAAAAGGATAGCTTTTGTACACTTTAATACTGTATATATGTATTGTAAGTCAGTTAAGTTATATAAATTACTTGTTACAAAGAAAATTATAATTCAATATTCGTGTGTTAAACCCTTCATAAATATTAAAAAACATTATTAATGACTCTCAACCCCTAAACTCTGAATATGATCAGAAGCACACCATTTTAAATATTCTGCATAAATTATTTAAAAAAATTTTTATTTTTATGACAATTTATCTAAACTTTTATACCATGCACGGCCAGGTAGCCTAGCCATGGGGTTAGGTAGTTTGCACCCCATCAACACACCGACTCCAAACAACTTTAAGTACCTTAATTAAGTTATAAAGTTAAATAATTTCATAAAATAATGTGTAATCAAATGTTAAACAAATGTTTCTAAGGTATACATAAACGGCATGAAACCGTGTTGGCAATCCTTAAAAGGTTATTTCGTAGTAGATGTTCCATCGCAGCATCTCTGATAATACAGTATAGTCTGCATTTACGCGGTCAATTGAACCCGTGGAGGTCTGCGTAAAACGAGAAACGCGTAAACGAAATAACAGAACGTATGGGATTAATTGAAATAGAGACTGGGCCGACCCCCAAACTCCACTTTTTCCGACACCATACGTACGTAAAAATAACATCTTAATTTTATGATGGTATGCACACACAATTAATAATTAAGAGAAATAACAATAATATTAGGTTTTTTAACACTTACGTTAGTAGAAAAGCTGGGTCGGCACACGTGGATGGCGGCTGGTTCCGAGGCAGAGGGCAGATTAGTTGCCCTCCGGTGAATCACTTTCACTACTCGCAGAGGTTTGCAGGGCCTCCCAGACAAACCCCTCAAAATCGACATCCTCACTGTCACTATCACTGACTTGGGCTGGCTGTGGTTGTGGTGGGTTGCAGGCGAGGGAGTCCTCAATACTACGTTGACGACTAGCATTGATGTTGTCGAGATAGATCTGGATATACGGCTCCATAACTTTCGACAGAAGGTTATTAGACACTTCATACCGATGCTTGTCTGGGTCGTTGTCAAGGACGAGCTTAATTTTCTCCCCCAACTCGATGATTTCCTTCACAGCATCATGGCTTGGTCCAGGTAATTCAAGGTTTTTCTCGGGTGGTGGGGGTCCAGTGGAAGCCATTGTGAGGGGAATATTTGGCACAAGAGAGAACTGTATACGAGGACTGAGAACAATGAGACAGGCCCGGCTAGGACAGCGACTTCTACCCTCTGGTGGCAGGGCACATCATGTTACATTAGACCAATCACAGCTAGCGGCGGAGGGAATGCGTGGGTGGTAAGGATGCGTGGTCGATACGTCGTATGACGTCAGCGATAACGTAAGAGCGGGCGGCGGTCAGGACCTCTCCAGCCGCTCACCGCGTAAATGATGAAATTTACCGCATAATTAAAACATTCCATTCTGGCAAGGCACTGTGTAAATGACCAAACGCGTAAACAAAAACCGCGTAAATCCAGACTATACTGTACTCTCAAGTACTTTACACATTATACTGGTCAGACTCACCGGTCTATAGTTGTCCGTGGAGTGACGATCGCCCTTCTTGAAGATAGGACTCACATAAGCCACTTTCCATTCACTGGGAACCTTTTGTTCATCCAGGCATTTACTAAACAGGATCTTCAGGGGCTCGGCAAGCTCGTTGCTCAACTCTCTTAGCACTCTAGGATGCACCATGTCAGGGCCTGGACTCTTATGGACCTTTAGTTTTGACAGTTTATTTCTAATACCCTCTTCTGTAAATACAATGTGGGTCAGTGCTGTGTCAAACTGTCTGTCCTCAAACGCAGGAAGGTTAATAGCATCCTCTCTTGTGAACACTGAGGAAAAGCTGCTCAATGCCTCAGCTTTATCCGGGTCAGAATCAACATAACTACCACCCAAGCCTCAGGTCTGATACTCCTACTCGCGTTTTTAATTTTGACTTTGCATAGCGGTAAAACGCCTTTGGGTTTGACTTGACCTCACGTGCAACCAGCCTCTGGAACTCCTTTTCAGCCCTTCTACACTCTATCTTTGGTTGGTTTCTGGCTCTTGCATACATCCTCCTGTCCTGCTCATTGTTTGACCCAACCCACACCTTGAATTTCTGGGTTTTCTTCTTAACTTTGTCGACCGCCGCATGGTTCATGTGTAGGGATCCCCTCAAATTCCTAGAGGCACTGTGTTTGGTCTTGGGTATATATTTATCGATCAAATGGGTCACTTTACTAGTTATGATATTCAGCGTAGTGTCTGCGTTCTTGTGCCTTAATGAGTCAGGCCAGTTGATACCCCTCATCTCTTCCCTCATCCCATTGTAATTTCCCTTGTGATATTTGCACCTTGGCCTGGCCTTATCTTGAACTAGGTAACAGTTAAATCTGAATGACAACACTATATGGTGACTGGTGCCAACTGGGGCAAGGTGTTCCAGTTTGGTCACCATGTCCTCCTCGTTTGTTATGATGAGGTCTAGTGGCTAGGGTGTTTGTTCCCCTCTGTAATGTGTCAGGTCTCTAACATGTTGGAACAGAAAATTATCTCTGAGTTTCTACAAAAAGAGTAGCAGGGTTATTCAAGTCATTTGGGGTGAACTCATTTCTCCAGTCGATATTGCCATAGTAAAATTCCCCTATGATAAGGAGGTGGCTAGGGTTGAGCATCGCCGCATTGTCTATGAAGGCTCTTAAGTTCCTTTGATTTAGTGGGCCACAGTTTGGGGATCTGTAGATGCACCCAACGATAAGTAAGTCCCCTCCCTTTAATTAAATTTTATACCACTTGGAGTCTTCAAAAACATCCTCTCCCTGTACCCTCGCCTGGCTGGCTCTAAGGTCTTGCCTCGCATAGATAACCACACCCCTCTTGCAAGTTTCTTGAGAAAGGTTCGTAAATGAGTCATATCCAGCAATACTGAACTCACAGTCCTCTGGGTTGATTCTCCTGTTTTTGTACAACAGTTCTACAACTCCTACAATATCTGGTTGGTGTACCTTCAGTAGTTTCAAACTCCTCTCTCATATCAAGGAACGTGTCAGTATTAGTGTACATGGCATTCAAGCCAGAATTTGTTCTCGGTAATGTCTCTGCTCCTAGTAGTAACCCCGCATTTCTCAGAAGCTGCAGCATTTGCTAAGTACACTGTATTTTGCAGGGAGTGGTTAGAAATGTTAATGTTTACACGGCGCTTGCCTCCTCCTGTCTGGTAGGCGGAGCTGGTGCCACCTCCCGGGTGGAGGGTGCGCTGCTGCCTCCTGGCCCTGTATCGGCACACTTGCTTCCACTACCCTCCCCTTGAATATAACCTACGTACACCCGTCCCCGTTCCTCCTTGACTCCTCCCTCTTCTGCTTCAAGTCCTACAGGATCTTCTGGTGCTGTTCCCTCTGCATTACCGTGCGATCTGGGTGATTGAATACACTCCGAGATGCCTTGCTCCTTGCTAAGTTTTTTGCCTGCCGAATAACCTCCCATTTCTTCTCCTCGCTCACTAGTGTGATCCTGAGGCCTGAGGGGGCAAGGCTTATCCCCCTGCTTTTGTCCCAGCCTCCTCACATCCTGTGTGGTTGATGGCATCGTCAGAACCTCTGTACAAATATTCTGAAACTGCATCTTATCGTGTGTTACCTTACTCTCAGTTCCCTCTGCCTGGTTCGGGGACTCCCAAAAACCATTACATTGTTCTTGCGCTGGAAACGTTCCCGTTGTTCCTCCTCTCCCCTAACAGTAGGTCCGTTAATTTTAATTTCTTCGACACACTTCTTCAGAGTCCCTAGCTGCTGTAGAACCTGTTCTGATCCTGCATTAATCTCTGCCACCTCCTGTGGCCCGGCTAATGCCTCAGCATAGTTCCTCTTAGCAACCACCTCCATTCTATTGGCTACTTTCTCTGCCTTAGAAAGGATCTCTTTCCCAACTTGCTCCAGTTTGGCAACCAGCAAGGCTCCAGCTTCATCTATTTTCGTCACTAGGGAACTCTTTCACCTTGACTATGCAGTCAGGGCAATACCAGCAACAGCCTTCATGCTTTACAGCACTTAGCATCTTCCTAAACGTTGCATTGGTCAGGCCTGTATTATCCATATCCGTCATCCCCCAGTTATATATCTTACATTAGTTTGTTTCTTGTCTTAGTATTATATAACTTACATCATTGTTACTTGTCTTAGTATTATATAACTTACATTAGTTTGTTTCTTGTCTTAGTATTATATAACTTACATCAGTATGTTTGTCTTAGTATTATATAACTTACATCAGTATGTTTCTTGTCTTAGTATTATATAACTTACATTAGTTTGTTACTTGTCTTAGTATTATATAACTTCCATCAGTATGTTTGTCTTAGTATTATATAACTTACATCAGTATGTTACTTGTCTTAGTATTATATAACTTACATCAGTATGTTACTTGTCTTAGTATTATATAACTTACATTAGTTTGTTACTTGTCTTAGTATTATATAACTTACATTAGTTTGTTACTTGTCTTAGTATTATATAACTTACATCAGTATGTTACTTGTCTTAGTATTATATAACTTACATCAGTATGTTACTTGTCTTAGTATTATATAACTTACATCAGTATGTTACTTGTCTTAGTATTATATAACTTACATTAGTTTGTTACTTGTCTTAGTATTATATAACTTACATCAGTTGTTACTTGTCTTAGTATTATATAACTTACATTAGTTTGTTACTTGTCTTAGTATTATATAACTTACATCAGTATGTTTCTTGTCTTAGTATTATACTGTATATCTTACATTAGTATGCTTTTTGTCTTAGTATTATATATCTTACATCAGTATGTTTCTTGTCTCAGTATTACAGTGATCCCTTGGTTAACGAATTACCTTCCATAAGAATCTTTCTAATTTGGTCAAAAAAAATTCGGTTAACGAAATTCTTACGAAATCA